TACGTAGTTTTTTTTTTTTTTTTTTTTTTTTTTTGGAACTGTTTTTGAGCCCAGGCCGAGGGTTCGTGAGCGCGGCCACGATAGGTTTGCGTATGGGTGGATGGCATACCGACCGCGATCAAGCCTAAGCGAAGGGAAGGGGGTCCCGGGGGCCCTCTCCCGCGGTGGGGCCGACACAAAGACCGTGTGGCCACGGTATCGGGGGCACAGCCTCGATAGAGTCCGTCGGGACGTCCGTGAGAATTAGGACGATGCAGAGAAAACTAGTGTGGCTTCTGCGCAAGGATAACACGTATAAATACGGAGGAGGCCCGATGGTTCGGGCTTCCTATTTCTACTTTCTCGCGGCTGGAGGGCACTTGACTGAGCGCTAGAAGGCACCGGGAGCGTGCAGACGAAGGGCAAAAGGCAGGAGGTAGGGAGTACCTGGGCGCGTTTCTGCGCCAGGTGCATTCCCAGAACAGGGGAGAGTAGTAACGGCCGGATAGCACCAGGCAGCCGAACTCGGAGTAAGGAGAGGGCGAGCGCAGTGCAATGTGGATGAACCTGGTCGACGAAACGGGCCAGGTGCATGCATGGTGGAGTACAGGAATGGCGTAGTGGGCCCAGGCAACGGGTAAAGCAGCGGAGCTGCGGAGCATTAAGGAGATGAAGTGGGATGCAAGTCGGAGGGAGGAATCCGGCAGGGTTTTTAGGCCAAGGGCACTGCCGTTGAAGGTGGCGGGGAACTTTCTGTATGGCAGTAAAGCTACGCGCTACAGCAGGAGGTAAGAAAAGGAGAGTCGGGCGAGTTGAGAGAGGAAGCGGAATCTAGATGACGGGAGAGTGAGCTACCACACGATGCGACCGGCCCTACTAAGTGTGGTGGTCGAAGGCGTTGGGGGTGAGGCGTAGTGACGGAGCGCCAGGCCAAGATACGAAGGCTGAGAAGATGAATGCACCCGGACGCGATCGGCGACCGGGTTCATTTACAAGTTGAGACAAAAAGGGGAAAGCGCATTAGGATACACATCAGAGTCGGGAAGGGGAAGAGTATAGAGCGAAGGAGGAATGGTGTGGAGCACGCAGTGAAG